GTAAAATTTGTCTCCTCAGATCCTGACCATAATGGAAAAATCTTTCATTATCGGAAATAATAGCTAATAAGTGATTCCTCTTTTTCACTTTTGGCAAAATCTTTCTTACATACCAAAACCTGTGCATAATTAAAGTATACAGTTTGATGAGTTTGGAGATAAATGTACATTCTTGAAACCATCGGCACAATCTATGCCATAAACCCATACATCACCTCCAAAAGCTTTCTTCTGCCAGTATTTATTATTCTGTGATAAAAACATTTACCATAAGATGTATCCTCTTAGCAAAATTTAAAAATAATGACTGGTTCTTTATAGGCCAGGAAGCTCAGTTGAATGGAGGGCCGAGTGCTAAATGATTCTGTTAACTGCATGGAAACACTGGTGGAATCCGAATAACAATATGAGAATCCATTGGCTATGAGTCAGTTTATCAAATGAGGATAAACTGAGGGCAGGTAATTTCTTTCCTAAATAAAGCCGAAAACTCAACTCCCTTGTTCCAAGTATCCCATCTCCCCCCACCTCCCCCCCTTTTTTTTAGAAAAAGAGGCACTGTGGCATGATTAAAAATTCAAGAGAAGATTACCGTAAATCACAATGGGACTTAAATACTTCTCTGAATTTATTAGGCTTGATTAATCAATAATTATTTACTGATCTCAGACACTGGGGATACCGAGCAAGTGAGAAAGAACATCACCTCTGCTTTCCTGGCTTGTGATTATCTCCCAAGTAGCAGCAGATTATTTGAGAATGAAATGGAATTAGGTCTCATTTCAGAATCTATAGAAAGCACAGCTCTGAATTCTGGGAATGCATATCTGGGCTTCTGACCTAATCATATGGTAGGACGAAGAAAATTGTTATACTCAGAGAGAAGGCCTGAGTTATGAAAAGATGAGGCGCATGCCTCTTCATCTGCAGTAAGAACATAGACATGTAGGAATTGTGCAAGTGGTAAGAAACTTGACCAGTCTCTGACATTTCAGAGCGAGTGTATCACTTTTGAAGATCACTGCTGTCTTAAATAAATCTGTGGGAGCATGTGAAAGTATTTCTCCTCTGAACCTGTTTCCCAGTTCCTAAAATTGGGGATAATACCTCTTTACAGAGTAGTCATATGAGTAATCACAGTATCTGTCTAGTGCTGAGTACATACATGTTGATCCTCAAAGACAAAGTGGCTGATTTCCCCCTTTTTCATTTTTCACAATTAAATGGCTGATTGGTGAAGTGTCAGTTCCTCGTTATTTGGAATGTTCATACCTGAGAGGCTGAAATGAGTAGGAATTGGCAGATGATGTAGAGGCAAATCACTCACCAGGAAGGACTGGGATGTATCTGAACTGTTTTCCAACTGAGAGTCTATAAATGCCTTGATTAGATGTTGCCATGGAGCTGTGGCTTCCTCTTCCTTAGTAAGCAATTCCAGATGCCCGAGCGACTTTAGAGGTGCAGGTGGGTCTCGTTGTTTAGCAAGCATCTAATGTGGGAGGCACATTCCAGGTGCCTCGGGCCTCCAACGTGTGATGGCATTCAATCCTTCCAGCACCTGATGGGAAAGGATTTTAAAGCTGTGAGAAAAAAGGCTGGGCAAGATAAAAATTCGGTGTATGTTCAATATAAGCATATTTCATGTAAAAATTCAGTACCATCTCAATAAAATGAAAGCGTGAGGTGAGATTTAAACTCAAGACTTTCTGTTCATTCAAATCCACACCTTTCCCCCTCTACAATATTCAGGTTAAGATGCAGTTGAATTGGGACTTGATTTGGCAGGAGAGTCCATAGGTAATGGGTACTGTTTAACTTTTGGCCCATGGTAACCAACCTTTGCATATCCCCAGCTAATTTCACATCGGCAAGAGCCGCCTGTGCGTCTCCCTATTGCTGACGCCACTTGGACAGCACTTTACCCTTCAGGTTCTGGGAGCACAGGTGTGGGAATAAAAGTAAAGCCAAAAAACTAACAATGTTGAACCCCTAAAACAGGGGTTTCTGGGCTCTCAAGCCCTCAACTGAAGACAGTGAAAATAATGAGAAGCAGCTGTATCTTTTCCCATCATTTTAGGTTTTAGAAAGGAGGTGATTGTAAGCCATGTTTTTTTTTTTGTAAGTCACTGGCTTATTAGAAACGACCTTTAAATGGTTTGTCATGTCATAGTTGAATGTGAAATGTGAATTGCATTTAAAATTTCTCATCACACCTGAAGAAAACAATTTTGCCCAGAGGCATCCATCTGCAAGCTTAGCAAACCAGGCACCAGCTACATTTCCTAACAGACTGAGAGATAGACACCCCAGAAAACAAGGGCACTCTGGCAGAAGTGCTAATTTTCATTAAGTCAACTGTGAATGATAAAAATTCCTTTGTGAGCCCCTGTGGCCCATTTATCTACAAGAGAAGCCCAGTCTAACGTTTTCTTTTCTTAAGTGACCAACAGGCTGGAAGAGTTGAAAACGTAGGAATCAGCTCTCTTCTCAAAGGTCTGCTGGGTTCTAGCTATTAAAGCTACAACATCTAGCAGATTAGACATTATTTTGCATACTGAACTCAAGCTTTGCATTACATATTTGCAGCACTGACAATTACATATAGAAGATAAAGCCCCCAAACAAACAAACAAAAAAATTCTTTGCCGCCATCTGATAAAAATGAAAGGAATCCTACTCCAGTATTTGCTATGATCTGCATGTTGTTGGGATCTTGTACAGTTACTATGGAAATGCCAGGTCTAAAAAAAAAAAAAAGCTGTGGTTTCTGTTAGTACTGCAAAAATGACCCCACTTAGCACTGTGAATTGATTGAACCCTGCCCTATAATTTGGTAGAAGGTGCACAGGTCTCCAATCTCTTTCACTGCTCTTCTTTTGAAAAGAAGTTGGCCCAAATAGCTTATGCTAGAGAGTATTAAAGTAATACAGTGGTCTAGCTAAAAGCTGGAGCATATATTTAAGGCAGCATATTTCTTTAGAATTATAATATCAAGTGATGACTCATTTATATTTAAAGGAAGCTTAGGAATGAGAAATGGTTAGCCAGCCTCAACGGGTAGTGTGTCATGTAATTTTATTTCTCAATGAGAAATGGCCATTTGTTATCCATTGCAAAGTTATTCTGACATGTCAAAGTAAGCAGAGAAAAAAATGTTTACAGTCTGGGTCACATTTGCATTGGCTAGGAAATCACAGGAGCAAAATAGATGAGCTGTTATCTGATTTGATATTTGCATCATTTGAAATATGTCTAAACTCATTACTGTTCTTACTACACATTTCATCAAAGGAATTGACACGGAAATTATACACCACGGTGATTTGAATATTAGAGCGTTGAGATTCATGCCTCCCTATTTGTTGATGGGAGGAGAGCTGTCAGGGAGGCGAAGAACCCTTCCTGGGAAGAGGGGAGAAATGTTTTGAGATGCATTGTTTGCTTCCACACCCGGATCACACAACAGCCTTCCTACTTTAAAGATGTGATTCTGCCCTGACTGGTTTGGCTCAGTGGATAAAGTGTCAGCCTGTGGACTGAAGGCTCCTGGGTTCGATTTTGGTCAAGGGCACATGCCCAGGTTGCGGGCTCAATCCCCAGTGTGGGGCATGCAGGAGGCAGCCAATGAATGATTCTCTCATCATTGATGTTTCTATCTCTCTCCCTCTCCCTTCCTCTCTGAAATCAATAAATATATATTTTAAAAAAGATGTGATCCTTTTCTACCCTTCATTTCATTACAAGCCCCACGCCCCACCCTTGTCCTCTGTCCCATCTCTCCCCACTCAACAAAGGCCTATTCAAATTCTACCCCTTCTATAATCCCAGATCAGATCGCAAAATTTTGGTGAAGCTGTCTCAGCTAGTCCAGCTAGCATCATTAAAATTTCTACAAATAAATGTTTCTTCCAAACCACCAAGCCACTTATATTCTATGGCATTCGTTGAATTTTCCCCTAGTGAATCCAATAGCCTCTTTTTAGTTTTCAGTCCATCAGTATTTAGCACCATTCACCACACATCTCTGCCCATGTTGTGATTCTGTCCTCTCTTGGTTGCCCCTTACCTCTCTTAATGCTCCTTCTCAGCCCCCCTGCTGTCTTCCCTTTACACATTTGTTCATTTCTCATTAAACAAACATTTATGGGGCACTTACCAAGTGCTGAGGATCTGCAGATACTAGTATAATGATGAACAAAATGTGTTCCCCTCCACCAATAAGTTATAGGCTAGCCCTGACTCAGTGGTTAGAGCATTGGCCTGTGTCCCTAAGTGTCCTGGGTTTGACTTCTGGTCAAGGGCACATACCTGGGTTGCAGGATCGATCCCCAACCCCGGTTGGGGTGTGTGCAGGAGGCAACCACTCGATGTGTCTCTCTCACATCTATTTCTCTCTCTCTCTCTCTTTCTCTCCCATTCCCTCCTTCCCTTTCACTCTCTCTAAAAAAAATTAATGGAAAAAATATCCTCGGGTGAAGTAACAAAAAAGAAGTTTATAGGCTAATGAAGAAGAAAGGTCAGCAAACCAGCAACTGTAGTTTGATGATTCCTTTTGTAAACAGGTGTAAAGTCCACTGCTTATGAGAGCATAGAAGAAGAGCTTCTAAAATCCAGGCGGGAGAAGGAATCAAGGAAGGCTTCCTAGAGAGGGTGACCTTGAACTGAGTCCTGACGAAGGGGTAAAGCTTATTCAGATGAAGGAGAGAGTGCGTTTTTCAGGCAGAAGGAGCAGCATGTGACATGGCGTAGATCTTCAAAATAGCATGTCTGGGGAGGTAGGAGTGTGTGGATTGGGAGGCAGTGTGATATAGAGGGGAAGGTTATAGATCCTGAAGTGGGATGTGGGATTGTCTCTTGACCATGTGACCATGGACCAAATTACTTACTTTCTGAAAGCCTCAGTTTTGTTACCTATACATAGTATCTAGCTTGTGGTGTCTTGGGGGGGTAGTTTAATGACAAACAGCAAAGGCTCATTTATCATGCATAACATAGTAGACACCCAGTAAATTGAAACTAGGGTTATTATGGTGATGATGACGTGATGGTTAATTTCATGTGTCAGCTTGGCTGGGCCACAGTGCCCCAATATTTGGTCAAACATTATTATACCTTTCTGTGCAGGTAATTTTAGATGAGATTCACATTTAAATTGGTGGACTGAGTAAAGCAGATTATCCTCCATAATGTGGGTGGGCCTCATCCAATCAGTTGAAGGCTTTAAGAAAATAAAGACTGACCTCCCCTGAGCAAGAAGGAATTCTGCCAGCATACTACTTCTGGACTTGAACTGAAACTCATCTCACTAAAAATAAACTCCATTCTTATAGTTGTTCAGGTCCCAAACCTTGATGTCCTTCTGGAACCCTTTTTCTCTCAGTTTACATCTGATTCATTGGCAAGTCATGTTAGCCCTTCATTCAAAACACATCCAGAATTCACTTTTCACCACCTCCACCACTATCCTCACAGTCAAAACTACCTGATTATTGGAATGTCTTCCAAAATGATCTTTCCTCACCCCCTCTAAGAAGCCACAGAGATCCTGCCTTTCTCGGCTCAAAACCCTCCATGGCATCTTTGAGAACAAAAGGACCGAAGTCCTTTTCTGGCCCATAAAGTCCTACCTAGTCTGACCCCCTTCCCTTTAGCCTCATCTCCTGTTACCCTCCTTTTGTTCATCTCAGCCACTCTGTTCTCCATGTTGTTCCCCGAACTCACCACGCTGCAAATGTCTGAGAGCCCTTCTGCTTGCAATTCCCTCTCCTCCCTTCCCCCCCCTCCCCCCAATTTCCACATGGCTCTTCCCTACTCTCCTTCAGATCTTGGCTCAAGGCCTTCTCTGAAAATTGTCTAAAATTGCAACCCCCTTCTCTCAATACTCTCTCCACACACAGTTCCTATCTTTCCTTTATGCTTTATTTTTCTCCTTAGCACTTATTACCATCTCACCTCCTAGATTTGCCTTATTGCCTTCTTTATTCTCTCCTTACTAGAATTAGGCTGCATGAGAGCGGGGGTTATACTGTTTTTTGTTCAGTGCTGCATTCCCCAGTGCCTAGAACAGAGCCTGGCACATAGTAGTAGTTCAATAAATATCTGTCAAATGGTCAAATGCTCAAGATGATGATAATGAGGAGGGAAAAGAAGAGGAGGAGGAATTCCTAAAATGGAGGCCAGAGAGCTCTTGTGATATGTAATTGTGATATGGGAACATGTCTGTCTCTCAGACCTCCCACTTCCAGAAAATTCAATGCTTTGATGTTGGGCCACCCTCCCCAGCCATTTCCACTAACAATGTTGACTAATCCCTGGATCTTACTTCTGGAGAGTCTGATTAAGCAGGTTTGGAGTTGGTCTGTAACTCTCCATTTAAAAAATGACACTGATGCAGGTGGTCCTTGGACCATACCTTGGGAAACATTGACTAGGACTGAGTCCCAAATTTTCTAAGCCATGTCTGGCTCACAGATGTATCTTATTTGGTCCAGAAAGTGTTGGCTCACAAAATGCTTATGAAAAAGCACATTACTTACCAACATTTAAAAATGAAAATAT